ACAGGGATGGCATCAGGGACAGGGACGGGGATGGGGACAGGGACGGTGTTGGGGACAGGGACGGCGTCGGGGACACAGACGGCATCGGGGACAGGGACAGTGTTGGGGACAGGGACGGCATCGGGGACACAGATGGCATTGGGGACAGGGAGGGCATTGGGGACAGATGGCATTGGGGACAGGGAGGGCATTGGGGACAGGGATGGCGCTGGGGACAGGGACAGCATCGAGGACAGGGACAGCGTCGGGGAGAGGGACAGCACTGGGGACAGGGACAGCATCGAGGACAGATGGCATTGGGGACAGGGATGGAGTCAGGGACAGGGATGGCATTGGGGACAGGGATGGCATCGAGGACACAGATGGCATCGAGGACAGGGAGGGCATTGGGGACAGGGATGGCACTGGGGACAGGGATGGTGATGGGGACAGGGACAGTGTTGGGGACAGGGACGACGTTGGGGACAGGGAGGGCATTGGGGACACAGACAGCATCGGGGACAGGGATGGTGTTGGGGACAGGGACAGCATTGGGGACAGGGACAGCGTTGGGGACAGGGACGGCGTCGGGGACAGGGACAACGCTGGGGACAGGGACAGTGTTGGGGACAGGGATGGCATCAGGGACAGGGATGGCACTGGGGACAGGGATGGCGCTGGGGACAGGGACGGTGTTGGGGACAGGAATGGCATCAGGGACAGGGATGGCACTGGGGACAGGGATGGCGCTGGGGACAGGGACGGGGTTGGGGATGGGGACAGGAATGGGGACAGGGATGGGGTTGGGGACAGGGGTGGGGATGGGGACAGAGATTGGGATGGGTGCAGGGATGGGGACGAGAATGGGGATGGGGATAGGGATGGGGACACGGACAGGGGTGGGGACAGGAACAGGGATGAGGGTGGGAACGGGGAAGGGGATGGGGACAGGAATGGGGACAGGAATGGGGTTGGGGACAGGGGTGGGGATGGGACAGAGATCGGGACGGGGATGGGGACAGGGACGGGATGGGGATGGGGACAGAGGTGGGGATGGGAATGGGGATGGGGACGGGGATGG